GGTTACACTCCATTTCTAACTGTTATCCTATTATTTCTGTTGTCCACATCCCTATATCTCCATCTAATCACTTAGCAAGAGCCCTCATAAACCTTCTCCTTGGTTTAGGAGACTTGATGTTTGGGAGGCACAACTTTTTAATACCGTAACCAACGTTTCCTCTTAATTGCTCTACTTACTGACTTCCTTCAGGCAAATCTGAGTCTTCATATAGAGCCAAAATTGCTAGCCGCCTTCTTGCTTTTCACCTGCAGCCCACTTATTTGAGTATACTGCATACATTTGAAAAGATTTAATATCCTCTCTTTCTAATCTTCTAAGGGAGATTCAAGTTTGACCATGTCAGGTGTAGACACCTGGAGAGCTAGCTTTGCTCATACACTAGACCAGATAGAGACCAACCTCAGTTTAGAAGCCTTCTCAGCAGGATTAGTTTTTCAGGCCCAGCCTGAAAATGATGATGTGTAACCACCTTCTGTACTTCTGAATTTGGATGCGTTTTGATAGCCAAGAATGACTTCTGCCTTTCTCCATAGATTTACTCTCTAGAGTTTTTTAATATAAATAAGTAATTTCTGCCGAGTCCTGTCAGGGAGCAACAAGGACCAATTGCTTCCTGACGGATGGAGAGCTGAGGGCAATAGCAGGGCTGGCAGGGCAGGGGCCTCACTGCCAGGGCCCGTCCCGCAGTACCGGAGCGAGGGAGCAGGGTAGGCACCTGTGGATGGCAGCTGGGACCAACGAAGAGTCGAGATCATCAGGCAGGTTTGTGGTGATGAGGCAGGTCCGATGTCAAGCAAGGAAGTCATTCATCAGGTCAGTGATCGCTGGGCAGGTCCCTTGCTCTGAGGCACGGGACAGTGTATGAGCTGTGTTCAGGAGTAGTGAAGAAGTGCGTTCCCTAATGTTACTTACTTTGGAGTATATTAGCGTGCGTAGAGTGTGTTAGTTACAAAGAAGTACCAGCCCTGTTACTGACTACATAGAAAGAAAGTGATAATGCCTAAACTGAGGCAATCCTAATCCAGCCAAAGTGTCCAAAAAATCTAAGAACACATTTCAAAAGTATTGTTAGCTTGGAAAGATAGCATGAATCTGCTAGACGAAATACAGGACCAGTCCGACTTCTGATCCAAGATCTACTCTACGCACAGATACACTCTCAGAGGGACATAATTTATATATCAAAAAGTGTTGTGGCCATCCTTTAGGGTATTTCTGACTCTTTTTCTGAAAGAAACAAGGCTGCTTCCAACATTACCTCCTTTGAAAATTTGCTGCAGGTCTTGGACTTGAGGCAGGAAGTGAGCTCTTGAAGTAAGATTGTTTCTTACTGGTAAATCGCAGGTTACATAGTCCTCCGAAAATCTCTTCTGAAAGGGAGTCATACCTAGTTTTATTTAAGTATGTCAGGTAATGCTAAGGGGATTCATAAATGTATTTCAAACATGGATCTTCATTTTTATTGTTTGCATTCACAAAAGCTTAAGTTTCTTGCGGGGAACAATTATGGTGATACAGGCTACAATGAGGTAGACACAAATCCTGCACAAATGGGGGAACGTTTTATTAGAACTCAATTAGCTGTTGTCTAAAAACCTAAGCTAACAAGAGTGATGAGAGCTATGTGAAATGACTGCAGTTCTGCTACTTTTCCTGCTAGTTCATACTTGTCCTACTTGAGGATGAAAACTGGGGTTGATGAGTAGTGCTGGCGGCACAGTAGTGAAAGGGAACTGGCACTGTTTTATTTGCTTTATCATGTCCTACGGATAAACACAAAAATTCAGGTTTCCTCTTGCAGCTTTCCAAGTTTGCAGAAACGTGTCGTTTTCCTGGGCTGTTACTCTGACAGCTATCAGAGTACTGGATTTTTTTTTAATGGGAGTGGAAAGCTTCTAAAACTGAGCTGTTGAGGGAAGGGCCCCAGGAAGAGGAGAAATGTCAGACTTAAAAGGAGGGAGGGAGGGTGTTCCACAGACTAAGGTTGCTGAAGGAATTTCAGCCAATTAAAACAAGAAAGTGAAACAAAATACCTTTCATAATAGGACCAGAACAGTGAAGTGGTGGTTTGTGAATGTTCCTTTCCGATTTTGTAACTAAACATGTCATACAAGGTTAGATTATGGAAGCTACAAAGTATTAAGGCAACAAGTTAATGGCAGAAAATTGAAAGCAGTGGGTGTGCCAACTGTAAAAGCAGAAAGGAGAGCCTTCCTGATCCAAACACTCCCTGCTGCTTGCCTTTGGCTTTGGAAGTCATGGCTTTTGCACAGAAGATTTTTACTGGAAGGAAAAAAAACGGGAAAAACCATACTAAACCCAGAAACATTCAGGTTTAAGTTTGCTATGCAAATCCTTTGAGGGTAGTTAATCTGTACTAAAATTTTAGAGCAGAGGGTGGGACAGCCCTATACCTTCCCATATGGTATTTCCTTTGCTATTTGATATGTAAGCCTAGCTCATGCATAATCACTTTAAACACAAGACTATGGAGATTTTCTGGGTGATTTTATAGACTAAACTTGTTCCCAGCCCTGTTTGGTTTGTGAAGCATAAAAGCAAATTAGATTGTCAAATGAAAATGACTTAGAAATAAGAAAAGCATTTGCAGGATAGTTCCCTATGCAGTGTTGTAATGGCGCATATTTTCCTGGCGTATGATATGATGAATAGCCACAAAACTTAGTTCTGTGCAGTGGGTTTGAAAGGCAGCCATTTATGGGGCTCGGTTAAACAGCTGATTTATGTAGGAGTGGACAGTTTGAAGTGGGGGTCAAACATACATTTTAATGTATATCAAGGGGAAAAGGTTCACGACTACCAACATTTGCATGATTCTTGTATTTTCAAGATACTATCGATTTTCTGAATGGGGAGCAACTTGACCTCCTTAGCCATCAAATCGAGTACGCTGAGGAGATGAGTCTGACTATTATAGACGTTTGTGTGAAGGTGACTGGAAAATTTTCTTGTGCGCCAGCAAAAAAAAAGATAAGGTTCATTATATTACTTACAGGTATAATTTAGGAGGAGCGTAATTATTTCATCTTTCAGATCCAGGAATAAATCATTACAAGCTCTGAGTCTTGTCCTACTCCAGTGAAGTACATAAACTTCTGTTAAATTCTGAATTTCTAGGTATTCCAAAATCGCTTTTTGTTTGGTAAAAAATAATTTTTTAAAAAGTTGAATCACTTTTTTGTTCCTCTTGGGGTTCCATTTCGGCAAAGCTCTGTCTTTCACCTTGTGAAAAAATCTGACTTGGTAACAGCAAAAACTATTTTTCTATCCTGGATGTGTGGAAAAAATGCACCATTACTGCATGTTCCCACACAGCCAGTATTCCTTACTGTGTATGGCTGTAGTTTGCAAGCAGTTGTGCATTCAGTCATTGGTCTTGTGAAGATGAGTGACTGTATTTGTTAGTCCTGTTTTTAATAGCGGCATTGTCCTAGCATCTGCTCTTCTTTAGTTCGACTGCTGGACATGAAGTCTTTTTATTATTACTGGTGGGAGCCGACTCAAGCTAGTGGGCCTGTCTGTGTGATGTTACTTGTTCTTTGAATCATTCTTCTAATCAATAGCAGAAAAAAATCTCAATCCAGAGCTACCTGTTCATTCACGAGGGATGCTCTGTTCATTCTGGAAGTAATACACAGCTTCTCCTAACTAATTACATTGTATGCTTAACATAAAATCTTGAACGTCAATCAGGTGTATGTTTTCTCCTATGTAACACATTCTTACTTGTGGTTTTCCCTGTGTATGTAATAGAATATAATTGCTTGTAATTATTTAAATTCAATTATATACACATCTTTCAGCAAGCTGCACATGTTTTTCCTTTATTTTAATGGTCTAGTCATGAAATGCCAAATGCATTTAAAAAGAAAAAGAAACAGGAAGGTTAAGAAAGAAATAAGAAACGAAAAAGAGTCTGTCGTATGAATTAATCATTTCTCTGGCATGTTTTCTTTTTTTAAACGGCAACAGTTTGATGCTGCCCAGAATGGTGGAATATCAGAGACTTTCCCAGTGAAGTAGATTAATGACCAAGCTGTAAAAGCATAAAGGCTCATGTTTGATGGAATTTATCCTGCATGATCTGTGGGTCACATGCATACCATCTCCAGATAATGTGACACATGAATCTACATATCACTATTTAGCAAGAGCTTTCAGAATTGACCAGTGAAAAGTTGAGAATGGTGACTTATCAGTCACTGGGAAGACTTATCTTTAGCAAGCAACACTGAATGGAAGTCGACTTTTATGGCCAGCTCTTCTCCTAAGACTGTAGCTGACAACTTAGAATTGAAACAGACTGGGCAGTAATTAGTGGTAGCTGTAATTATATTTTGAGGATTTGCCTGAACCTTTTGAAACCAAATTTCACAAAATTGTATGTTTTTTCTACTTCATTGTGCTGTCATTCTCTACCATCTATATGGAAAAGTGCCAGGATTCCCTGTGCAGTCACCTTACTACCAATGCCAGCAGATTCTTGTGAGAACGATTTCCTAGGCTCCTCCTCTTAACCAGCCTTTTGTCCTTGGAACTAAGAGTTTTCCTAGCTGACAGCTTGAGTGGTCAAAAGAGAAACTCACAGAAAAATTCAAAAGCCCAAACAGAGTTTTGATTGCTTTCTGAAAAGCTGCTTGTTGAAATTATCCCTTCTCAGACCTATTAATTGGTATAAAAAAGATAAACGAAAGGAAAATTGAAAGGATTTACAGATAGGAAGAAGGAAGGAAAAAATAAGAAAGATGTCTGTTAAACGATTTCTTTCTTTCTTGCCTAATCCTTCATTTTCTTTCATTTGTACTGTGTTCGAAAATATGAATCTGTAAGATGATCTGTAACAGCAGGATGATAAGTAAAAATAAATGACTGACTGTGAAAATTCATTTGCCTTTCCATGGTTCTTGCCTCTCCTCATTTCATTGCGCAGTCTGGAGGATGGACTAATGAACGTCCCTTTGTCTTCTGCTCCCCAGTGTTCTGCAGAGTGTGGGGATGGAGTCCGTACGCGCTCGGTGGTTTGTATGACCAACCATGTCAGCAGTCTGCCCTTGGAGGGCTGTGGGAATAACAGACCCTCTGAAACAACCCCCTGTAATAATGGCCCCTGTGCTGGTAAAGTGGAGTGGTTTGCCGGGAGCTGGACACAGGTAAGCTCTAGATCTAACACCTCTATTTATTTTCTGCTGGAATTTTATTATTAAATCTTTTTGTGCAATGAAAATGCATGCCATAAAGTATACCTGTGTCTCTGTGGAACATCTGGATAAGTTGCTTCTATATTTTACTGAACTTTTCTACATCTGTTATGTTTTACTGAAGACCTTTGATTAAAATAAGATTTTGTTCTTCTCTTCCTCTGTAGCTCATTTTTATTTCTCATCTACTAGCCAAATTTACTTATAAAACGAAAGATGTCAGAAAGGTGCTTAGCGTATTCAAGGGAATGCTAAAGCAATGGATTTGCACCTTTTGAAGTAGAGTATTTGTAGATATTGCATGCCTGCAGGTATATATATAGGCCATAGCCAAAGCATAGGGCATGAGAAAATAAAGCACGGGCTAAAAACAAAAGTTGGTTTCAGTTTTGTTGCGCTGAATTTTGTAGTGGCAGATGAAAAGAACAAAACTTGGTTAGTGTCCATTGTGAATTATTCCATTGCTCCACACCTCAACGCTCTTTCCGATTCTAACTAAACACCTCTAGGAGCAGAGGAATTTTAGAAGTTGTCAACTGGTGCCCTAAACATTTAAGAGTCTATCGTGTAGCCTATGGAGCTGTTTGGACTGCTGGCACTAGCATTTCATCAGTTTGTTAGGGAAAAGTCTCTCGCCTGGGCTGTTAACTCACTGCCTTTCAGATTCCAAGACCCAGCTGCCAAGCAGTTGGAAATGAGACTGATACAGTTGAGACGGGGATTAAAGAGCACCTATTATGCAAATGCTTTCAAGTGTAAGTGAAGTTATTTGTATTGCTTAAGAGTAATAAAAGATTCAGATTTAAAACATAGCTGCAGTTGTAACAACAGATAAGGTCTGGGCTTTGCTACTTACCCTTCCCCATGCAGGCGAATGGGAACTTTGTATCCATTCTTGCCCCCACAGACAAAAGCTTACAATAAGGTCATTACAACTCTCCCCGTCCTATTGATTAATGAAGTTTCTTTCATTTAAAAATTCCTCTTTTTTAAAGCTAATTCACCTTACTTCTTTGCACAGGATTGCATTCTGTTTGATGCATCTCAGGGGTACAAAGTCTTTGCTGGCTAGTACCTGAAAGAAATGTCTTGACAGCTCTGGTCTGCCAGCCAGATCCTGACTTCTAAATACTTGACACCAAAGCAGACAGTCAGTAGACCAGAGCACAGGGGCGCTGGTGGATGACTTTCTCTCTTGAGCTTCTTTAGAGCTGAGGCCGAACGCTGAGATAACATCTTTTGGAAGAACCATTAAAAGAGAGCAGGGACAGAGATGGACGGGGTTGAAGAAAACGCAGTTAAATTTTTCCCTGTAGCATTTATTTAGGTGCAGTAGCTGATTTGTCTGGAGCTTTTAGGGCAGGAATCACATACAGTTCAGAGCTGTTGCTGTTGTAAATCTAAGCCAGCACAGGTGCTATGTAAGGTATTGTAGGTGAACTGCATATTGATTTTCTCAGTGAACCCTGTGCTTTTTCATTAGTCTCAAGGCTTTTGTGGGTATCTGCTCAAGCGATCACAAATTCCACCCAAAATATAAATAAAATCCTCATTTTTAATAACATTCTATTGTTTTAGGCTAGAATAAGTCTTTGAAAATCATAGTCTTTTATGCAGTGTAGAAACCAATATGTTGCTGGAATCATCTTCTGAAATCTTTTTAAAAGTGCCAGGAACAGTATTTAGCCTTTAAACAGGCAATAAGAACCCATGTGAGTCAAATTTGCATTTCAGAACTGGAACCAACACTGCATCGCAGATACTCGCAAATATTAAATGAACACTCTGGCAGATACAGACATTTTCTGAAAACCGCACAGAATGTGAGGATTTGAAAAACTGCAGAAATGTGCTCTAAACTTTATAACCCTCAGAGGTTTAGTGCATATAATCCTGCTTCAGCCAGAAGCAGTAACACTGTTTATGGAGAAAGTAAGTCATGGTTCCCTTTTATTAGAAAAATAAAAACCAGTTTCTTTTTGTAGCTACAGGTAAAACCACAGTTTTAGATTTTTGCAAGACTGCACACTGTAGTCATATTTTTCATTCTTCTTCTTTCTAACAATAATTAGAAATATATTTTCAATCTGTAGTACCACTTAGAATAAAATTAACAGTAGCAGAGTTTTAACCGTTGTAGCCATTTTTAAGATTAATAATCCAATCTGTAATACTCAACACAATCTCTACTCACTTAATAAGTCGTTACTATGTCTTTCAGCATTTTCTTGTCCTGGTTGCTCACTGGGACTGCTGGGTGCTATGTTAGTACTGCGTATAAATAATAATAACCCAAGGGGTTATCTAGGCTATTATTCTGGGTTTGAGGGATAAAAACTTAAATAATTAAGGGATACTTTTCCCTCTTCCTTTCTTAAGTCATACATATACCACTCTGTTCCTGATTGGCTTATTGCCTGGAAAAAGAGTTAAAGAAAGTTTTACCTGTTTTTGCAACAGATGATATTTCAACTACTCTGGACTATACGTCACTTTCCATTGCTGAATCAAGCCCTTGCACTCACACTGGTACACGACGATATCAGCAAGCTCCCTCTGCTATTTCTACAGGCAGCCTGAAGGCAGTCCTGCTGTTCAGCACTCAGAACTCTCTCCATTTATAAATTTAGTTTGAAAATTATTTTAGAGGTTCTAAACTTCTACATTATGACCTTTCACATTCATACAAGCTTTCACCAAAAGGTAGTGTGGATTCTGTCACTTCACAGGTGAATGCAGCCTACTGGGTAAATTTTTCTTTTTTTTGCTGTTCGTAAAAAAACCTAAATTCTGAAGAAGCATGAGCAAATACAAGTTGGGTTCCAAAATAATGAGGTATGAACAGCAGTGAGTGTACCCTGCAGCATGAAAAGAAGGGATCTTTCGAAATAGTTTGTTTATAGTAGTTCCATAGAACATTATGGCATTAGATACCAAAATGAATAGGAATTTTCTACAAATGGTAAAGCATACATGCAATTTTCTCTGATCAGTTTTTTCATTTGGAAGGAGATTCCATCCCCTATCTTCTAGCTGTAGCTTCAGTTCTTGATAGCTAGAGGTATAGTAAGTCAGCATGCAAGGAACTGGATCAGAAAAAAAGTACTAAAGCTTTTTTTTCTTCAGAGACAGAAAAAAAAATGTAATGATTTGTTGGATTTTTTTGGATAATATGAGTTGGTAATGAAACAGTCTGATGACTTCCAGGCTCCAGTTCTTCCTGTATTAGATCTGTTAGGTTTACAATTACAGTGTTGTCATGTCTAAAATACAAATGATACATAAAATAATACCAGAGAGCAGACAGAGAATGAGAGTCTGTACGATACGGTAAAAGCACTTCCTTTATTGTTTCTGGGCTATATTGTAACAGATAAGCCTCTTGCTTTGTGCACTGTTCAGACTAATGCTGTTATTTTTATATTTGCAGATTATTTACTATAATCAGAATTGAATCCTAAAATCTAATAAATACAAAATTTTCACTGGTAATCTTCAATTTTCCTTATATTTCCAATGGGGCATGACAAAAATCTGTATCTGTTGTTGGCCGGGTTCAATTTCTACAGTATTACATGATGAATGTTAATGTTTCGATATAACAGAAAGCAGCTTTGGAGTGCAAGGACTTTTCAGTTTAATATCATGGATTGATATTTTGACCTGGTGAAAGTTTTTCATTTTTTTTGTCTCAGAACCTAAGCCTGTATTCCCTGTAAACTTGTCTTCATGAGCAAAATATATTTGTCCTTGTGATAACCATCATACAAATCAGGCAGGGAAGGACTTTCCTTTTTCTATAAATACCAATAAACTAGCCCATAGGTAGTATGTGATGAGATCAGTTACAAAAATTAAACCAACAGCTGTGAAATTTAGAGCTAGCAGTAGTTTGCAAGTAGCATTAGCATGGTTTTATTCAGAGTATCGTTTCTGAAATTAGATTTTGTAACACTTGTTTGGACTTCGTGCTCCGAATTCAAATTTGATTTGAAACAGGGCTGTCTCACTTTCTACAGAAAGCGCAAAATGCTTCCAGTTGGTTCCAGTAAGACTGATGTGATTTTTATTTTGGTTTGGGGAAACATGCTTTGTTGACTTCTCTTAATCCTCAGTATGTATGTATGATGTAGTGTTTCATCACTACTTGACTAATTCTTATTCATCTTTCAATTGGTTTCCAGTTAGGTGGGATTGCTCACTAGAAACACATTTTCAGTGTGATTTTCAAAAGTGACCTGGGCATTTAGGAGCCGGAAGACTTGTTTATATGCAGGTTTTATACATTTTTAATTATGGCCATTCAAAAATGAGAAAATGAACAGCCTTTGATTGAGGGCACAGTCACTCTAGTTTAGATTCTAAACTAATGTAATAACTGAAGCATTGCAAAACTTGATGGTGAGTCATCATTAAGGCTCACTAAAAGTCAAAGGGACTTAGGCTTCTAACTCACTGAGACATTTCTGAAAAAAATGGTCTTAGGTGTCACTCTAATGTGTAAGTAATGTTACTGTTTTTTAAAAGAATATGATTGCATAGAATTTCATATCATAAGGTTTATTTTAAAAAAGAAACACTGAAAAGTCCTTTGTTTCCTTTTACCACTTTAGTATTGTTTGAAATAATGGAATTGAAACGTCTCTTAAAGTGTTTTAAATGTCTAAAGAGATTGATTTGTAGGATTCCTATATGACCAAAATACTTTTTAATGTATCTGGTAGAACAGAAATGGAGAATTGTGGATGCTACAGTGTGGCAACTCTAAGGTCTGATGGAGGGGTTATTGCTACAAGTCCGTCTAGTTTACTTGAAGATGGTCTTGGGTTGCCAATTATATAAATCTTTTGTGACATTTGTTTACTGAATTAGCATATGGAGCAGTTAAAAGGACAGTACTTATATGGCCTGACCAGGTCAGTTCTTGTACAGCCAAAGCCTGTCCTCCTGCAAACACGATTAACAGCCTCAGTGCAGCAAAGCACTTAAATGTTGACTCTAGCGAGAATACACAGGGGCCTGAAGGAAAGCTGATGCTTAAGTGAATTGGTGGATTGCGGCCTGTCCTACACGAAATAATACTGGCAATCAATTTAAGCAGTGAACAGAAGATTAAGCGGCGTATTTGTAGAGACAGAAGGAAAGATGTAGTTCAATTCATTTTACTGAGGAAAGAAGCTACAAAAAGAAGGAAATGGCTTCTGAATGTTGGAGTCCAGATATGTATAAGGGGTATAAGCAAAGCTGTAGAAATTTCCCTCTTTGAATATTGATTTAAATTGCAAGTATATGTGTATGTTTATGTTTTATTTCAGAAACAACTTGTGGAGAAACATGTTAGTTTGGAAACAAGTTCAAGGGCATAGGTAGAATAATAAATGCCACCATGTTTTTGTTCTCTGATACAGTGTTCTATGGAATGCGGCAGTGGAACTCAACAGAGAGAAGTCATTTGTGTAAGGAAAACTGAAGGTAATTTTGATGTTTTGAACCCCTATGAATGTTCGTATTTGGAAAGACCTCCCAGTCAGCAGTCCTGCTACCTCAAGCCCTGTGGTGCTAAGTGGTTTCATACAGAATGGAGCACAGTAAGTCCATCCTGCTTTTCTGTATCTAGTTTTGTTTGATGCAACTTTTTCCATTTTTCCCTTATTTATTGAAGGGGAACACCGTTTGGATAAAACTGCTGTTCATGAAATAAAGACTTAATTTTGTACAAGAACGATGGTGAAAAGAAAGCATACTCTGCAGCACCTGGTGGAGCTTAGGAAAGTTGGGCAGTTTCTTGAGCAGAAGGAAACGCTGCATAGTTGTCTGTTCACCTCTGATTTCTTCGAAGAGTCTTCCTGTTTTACAAATTTGGTTTGCCCCTTAAGGACAATATGTAGTGCACTAAGTGGTTCTTTTCAGAACGCTGGTTTCATTAAAATTAAGGGGCATTTAATAAACAATGATGGATGTGTTTATTTTTTAAGGTAATATTATCTTTACCATAATACCCAGACCTTTACTGCAGAGTCCCCAGTTTCCACTGGAAGCAGACCCTCTGTATTCACCAGTGCCACAAGTGGTTTTATCTTCCCAGCATTTCCTACATTTGACAAAAGCTCATTGGATTTATTATGAAAAATTAACATCTTTCTCCTAAATGAAAATCAGAAAGTCCAGTACCTTCTCAGAATGAACAATGTTGTGAAAAGTTACCTTATCGACTGCAGTAACTTACGCCTTTCCTTGAGTCTTAAATCAAATTCAGAATGGCAGCTCTGAATGTGGAAACCCCTCAGATCCCTTCAGCTTGAGTTCCCTTAGTCAGGAACCTCTGAAAATTCTTCATCCACATGACATGAAAGATAGCAATTACTTTGCTTTTCCCACTTTCAGTAAGTGCTCTGTTATTTGATTGGTGTCATGGCAGCACGAGAAAGCAGAAAAAAAGGTAGACTAGTTTTAACAGAATAAATCAGCTGAAGAGAATCCTGATTTTTCTCCCGTAATTGCAAGTATAGATACTTATTTGAAAACAAAGATACAGTTAGGCTTATGGTAAAGCCAGGTAGATTCATGTATCTCCTTTGATGTTGCTGGAATTCCTTAGATTTTTTACTGAGACATTAGATTAAATAAATTTTCATTAGCCAGCACGTTTTCAAATGTGAACCTGCTCTGAGTTATGTACTTAGGTGATCCAGTCATCTGCATCCATAGAAGGCAACAGATATATTCTTTCTGAATGTGAAAATATATACTGTCTTTTGCAAGCACGGAAGAAACGGGTGTTAAGACCCAGAATCTGATGAGTATTTAGAGATCCCTGGTTACTATGCAAGTGCCTAATTCCTAAGTAGGAATTAAATGTCTAAAAATCCTTAAGGGCTAAACCTTTGTGACCATCTTTTTCACTGCAGGAACAAATACACATGCCAGGTGAGGCTTTCCAAGATCATCATCCAAGCATTTTTTTTGATTTTTCTTATATATGCTATTTCTTACTGTTCGAACGGAAGAGAAAGGATTACAGGATTAGTTGTGAACACATTAGCTAGTTGCTGGTTTAGATTGGAGCCTCTGTGCAAGGTTTTGAAACAGTCCAGTTCATCATCTTCAGTAGACTTTTTATGTGACTTTGGATAAACTGAGTGGCTTCTCAGTCATGGATGTGTAATGGCTGCCTATTGCAGAATGCTGAGGTTTGTGTATGGTTTGTTGTACTTAAATGGAACTAATACAGAATTTAGATGTGAAGTGCTTAAATCTCCATGGACCTGAGCTGAAGTCCTTACTGTCGGATAGGGGACAATTGAAATAGCCTATACAGCCATGTAACAAATGTAATCATATAAAAAAAAGTGAGTGCTGCATTCCTGTGGCTGTACATCTTATGTCTGTTCTACAGTGGGGAAACATATCCAGAGATGAAAGAAAAATTTAAGAATAATTTTTATGATCGGGAATATTTTAGTTAGCTTGCTACAATTAGCTGATTTAATGATAGGGATAAGTCTTATTTGCAGTGTTGTCAAAAGAAGTAAATGTGCCAAAAAAAAAAAGGCAGAAAGAAAACTTGACTAGTTCGGGGCTATTAAAATCTTAATCATCATAAATGATCCAAGTTTAATGAAGTTTGCAAGGTCAAACTGGACAAAGTGAGCCAAATCTGAAAGACCTCATGCAAAATTCCTGAAGTCAACAGGGGATTTGCTTCAGTATGGACAAAAGCGTGTAGTAATTGGCTTTGAAAATACCATGACAAGCAAGTACAAAAGTCTTTGGCTTCAGAACAGATTTTGAAGGAACACCGAAATATTTTCTTTAGAAACTCTGAAAAGCCTATAATGCGTAGTAAAACTGTTGTGCTGCAAGAAGTGAAAAAGAATTGAGCATTAGAGATAATGCAATAAAATTTTTTCCTGATTGCATATAAATTGAGGTGAAAGGGCAGTGGAGGCCAGCGCCTTCAAGTAGTGACATAAGTTCAGTGCAAGAATTTCTTAAAGTAAAAAAAAAGTGAGCACCATGAAAAGAATAGATCTGAGAGAGATGTGTTAGAGAAGCAAGAAGCTAACTGATAATACCAGAAAGGGATATTCTAGCATTGTCCTCCATGTTCACTTATTTAGTTGCTGACCCTGAAGGCAAGAGCATTTCTGAGCCTTTAATGGAAATTACACCTATATGCTAAGAGCTTTATACTTAGGAAACAAACAACAACAAAAAGTGTTGAAGTTGGTAAAAGCTTACCAGTGATACTTGGATGTGACTTTAAGGCTCCCGTTATTTCTCTCGTTATTTGCACATCTCATACAGTCTTCATGAAATTCAACTTTTGTATTTCAGTGTTCCAAATCCTGTGAAGGAGGATTTCGGGTTCGAGAGGTGCGATGTCTATCAGATGATATGACAACCAGTACTCAGTGTGATCCACAGCTTAAACCTGAAGAAAAAGAACCATGTAACACACAAGACTGTATCCCAGAAATAGGTAAGGAAGAAGGAGAAACTCGTTTTAACTATGGAACTCCATCTAGTGGAGAAAACATTTAATAATCATGTAGAAGCTTTAGCATTTGTTTTGATTTTAAGTTCAGGGTTTTGTTTTTACACAAAGTACAGCTCTTTTCTCTGGTGAAACCTCCTGAAAGGAGGTTTTCATTTCTGATTAAAAGGTTATCCTTGAAATATATAAGAAACTGGCTGTGAAAATTTAGGGTGTTTTTCAGCAGCCTCTGTGCATTCTCACATGTTTCTTTTGGCAGAGTCTTGTCGCTTTAACCCTAAAAAGAAAAAAAAACAAATACAATATACTGTGTTTGGTAACAGGTTCTATAGGAAACAATAACATAAAGCATATTCTGTATAAAAATATAAATAGCAAAACCACTCTTTCTCTTGATTTTGAAATTCCAGTGTGGCTTCAACTTTTGTAAACAATACACATGCCAAATACTGTAATTCAGCATTGAAATTAGTGATTTTTCTCATGCAGACTTGATTTTAACAGTAATAAGAATGACTAAGGATAGGAAGACACAAGTGTTAAGAAATAGCTTGAACTGTGTATGTTTACAGCAATTTTCAGTTCAGAATTATTATTTTTGAACATAAGTATTTGTAATATAATTATTTAAAAAATACTGGTATACTGATACTAGTAAAAATATTTTTATTATACTAGTGTTCTCTTAGCTTTTCTTTGTTTAAAACAGGCTTGTAAAAAATTGCTCATTGTTACATCCGATTTTAGTGTTTTCTCATTTGGCCTTTTTCGTAAAGCCTCAGTTTCTGTGAGGATGATTACGTGAAAATATCAGCTCTCACTTAAAATTTTATTTGTAACCCTCTTGACTGTAATAGAAAATTTCAAAATGTGAACAGACCACACCCTAACAGCTTAGAAAGCAGCTGGGAGTGTTAAGAAAACTAACGGTTGGGATTTTTTTGAATCTAGTTATTTGAAACCAATTGTATTATTTGGAGGGAGGGAGGCAATTTATTATTTTCCAATATTTAGACTTGGCAACACTTGAAAATAACATTTGCTGGTTCTGGTGCCGTCTGTACACTGTTACAAGTGTTTAGTACCTGCGAATGGGAAAATGACGTGGAAAGGTACATAAGTGAAGAAAACTAGAGACCTTCCTATCTTCATTATTCAAGGCAAATTTTGTATAAAGAAGTGTACAATGTAAATGGGGAAAGGTATATTTCTTCCCAGGTTTTATGGGCCTTTATTAATCGTAAAAAATCTTTTAAGCTTTATTCATCTGATTTGTTATTTGCATAGGTAGCCTATTTTACCTTGACAGTGAACCTTCAAATACAGGTTCAAGGGATTTTACATGGTTAAAAAAAGATTGTGGTTACTTGTTGCTCTAATGTTATATTTTTCAACTTCTTCTCCCTTTTTTCTCCACAGATGAGAACTGCAAAGATAAATACTACAATTGCAATGTGGTTGTTCAGGCCCGGCTCTGTGTCTACACCTATTACAAAACGGCCTGTTGTGCATCCTGTACGCGTGTGGCAAATCGACAGTCAGGGTTTCTGGGACGCAGATAACAATTACTCTACTACTCAAAGCAGCAATATCACTCTTCAGATGGAGCTTAAACAGTGTTACTGTTTTGACCACAGCAGGTTCTACCTTCATAAAGAAATGTTTTTTGTACTGTTGAGCACATCAAGACTATGGTTAAATCTCACAGCCTTTCATTTACACTTTATGTGCAGTTACATATATTTTAAAATGTTTGTTGTAAAACCACGATCTTTTTAAAGAATTAATTTTTAATGATACTATTCTTTGCACCTGTTCATCAGATGATCATTTAAAGAACATACCAACCTTACTGTTGAGAAGTTAATGAAAACAAAATCAGTCATAGGCAATTATTGGAGATATTTGACCAGTTAGGGATGCAGCTGCTGCATTATTTCCTGAGTGCTTACTCTTGCTTGGTATTTTAGACTGACTTAAATTAGTAGAACAAATCAATGAAACACGCACATGAGAAGAACTGTTTCACAAAGAGCCAGTCCCATTCATGATCAGTTTCTTAGCACCCTAATGTGTATTTTTAATTACTTCAGCCCATGCAAAAAAAATTAGAGTTACTGTTAAGGTCTCTCAGTTGTACTTTTAACTAACTTCCTGTCCTCTAGCAGGAAATATATGCACACTTGACTGCCAAGAAGTGCCTTTATATTTAATTCATAAACTTCATCTTGAATGTACACTTTTCTAATTTTGTATAGATTTTAAAAGCAATATATTACCCACCAGAGTGCCACTAGTGTCCAGACCTTTAAGCCTTCCTGCAGCTGTCAGGGAGACTGAGATTTAAGCGTGAAGAGCCTTTGCTGGTATTTAAAAAAAAAAAAAAAAGTGAGTGTTTCCATCAGCAAAATCTCTTTCTTGTAGGATAGTTATTTCAGTGAACTGGTATCTGGCCTAATATCTTGTCTCTGCACAATTGCTTGACAACTAGCATACCAAAGTAACAGTAGGATGTAGGTCTCCGTGTTTGTTTTATAATAGTCTGTTACTCTTGGTATCAGGAGGCAGTAAGTGCGAGTGTGCTAGCAGAGCACCTGTAATAAGGAGATCTTAACTATTGACACTTTTCAGGTTTTGAAAGATTGTTACACCATACTTGTCTTTTGTAGTCAATGTTTCATCCAGCAGATTTATTCATACCACCTCTTTTATACTACTCAAGAATGGCTCCAGACTTGGACCTGAATTTGGGTGGTGATTTTTCATTTCTGCAATGACTATACTCAGCCTTGGGCTTTGCTAAAGGTAAACAGAATGTGCTGTACACTGTGGAATAAGCTATACAGTGTAGATGAAAGTTGTTCTTTTATCTGCACATTCTCTAGCCTTCACGTGTGAGGTCTTTTGAATGTGTGAGTAAGGCTGAGAAATAAATAAATACCTCTGCTTGTTCAATTGTTTATTACAGCATATTGCTTTTAGATTAAATTAAATTCGTAAACTGTGCATCTGTTTCCAAGATGCCTGCTGTCTTGACTCAAAAACAGTTTTGATTGTTAAGCCACTCCCAGTGATGTGTTAATACAGTGATTAAGGTTTCCTGCTACTGATTCAGAGGCATGTTTGAGCCGCATTTTGAATTCATACCAAAGCCCATCCCAAGTGATCAAGCTGTGCATCTGTTTTTATTTCCTTTTCCTTGTTTGGGTGGAGGAGATGTGCAAGAGGAATAGAGCCCTGGGAGGAAAAGGTTGCTAGATGTGATACTTTGTGTGCGGAAAGCTAGGACGACAGCAAGGTGGGACTCTTCTAGTCTAACAGCTGCCTTGGCTTGAGACAACCCTTAGGTTGAAGAAAACCTTAGGCTTTGATTCTGTCATTTGTGTGGAATATATTTTGGCCATGATGAACTATTAATGTTTGGCTGAGTGAAACAAGTGTTTCCCCTGAAATTTGGAGTTAACTGTTTGTGATTAAAATCATTAAATGTCATTGGCTGCTTCTCTACACCTTGATTTGGGCTTTTTCACTGTAATTAATTGACCTAAACAAAGAAGGCGGCGTTTCTGTTGCAAATGCTCATTAGAAAACCTTTCATTTTAGTTCATGAAGCTTTCTCAGTCCTATTCCACTGTCTCATGAAGACAACTGAGAGATTTGTGATCATATTGTATACCGTAGATTCTTGACCAAAGTGTGATATGGAGAAAGTGCAGCAGAAACAGCTGTTTAATCTAGTATTTGTAAATGCAGATTTTCATGTGACTGTCTCATCGCAGCAAACCTTGACATACAGTATATAATTTTTGCTGTTGTCTCTTTTGTCCCGAGGAAATGTATCCTGTCAGCTTGAGGGAAATATCTGTTCCATAAAAAGACTTGCTGAAACCCACACGGAGAATGACATACAGAGAAATAATCAGGTTTGCAAACAATTCCTAGAGAATAATCTGCTTGCACACACTTTTTACTGTGAGGCAGTCAGTCAGCAAATATACAGGCTATCCTGGCCTTTTCTAAAATTTGTTATTTTGCTCTGAAATATATAGCCATTAGGATATTTTGCAAGGTTTATTTTTTTTGTAGGTGCCATTAAGCCACCACTGAAGTAAACAGAGCTCATGGGAGCTAAATATCAAATATATACATACATGTAGCAATATAACCCTGTATTACTCCTAAGGTGTATAGCTTTGTGAATTGAATGTGGTGAATTACGGTCATAGACATACAAATTGTTCCTTTTTTTTCAGTAAAAGGCCAGTTTTCAGATGCACCAGTTAAATAGTTTTTCTTCATCTATTTAAACATCTGGTGATGAGGGAACTGCCAGAATTTTACTGAATTTATTGATTTGTCATCTCTTCTCCTGTATCAGCATGATCAAAGTAGTTGTTCCTGCAGCTAATCAACCGTTCTTTCAGCACTTCGATGTAGGAGAACTACCTACCCAAATAAGTGCTATGCTAGTATTTCACTGTCACACAAAGTGCACTTTTGAAATTGTGACTATAGCAAGTGTTTGTTTTTATAGAGCAGTGCACCAATATTAGCATGATGCCTACAGAGGGCCTGATTTTACTTTCATGATCTGATTGCAAATCAAAAGTGGCATTAATTAATCCAGCGGAGTTAGATCAGATGTAAAACCACTATAAGCAAGAACTGATTGTGAATCTGAATGTTACCTTTCCTTTTCTGGTATTTTAACACCAATCAAAATCCTTTAGGTGGAAAAAAAAAAAAACAAAAAAAAACAAACTGTTCCTGCCTTAAAGTTTTTCAGTTTATATGATCCAGTAAGACCAGAGTAAGTGTAGGAAGACTGTTATAGATCTTAGATTTAAAGTGCTCTAAGTCTAACTGCTTACGGGGAAGAACTAGCATGCAGCTTTCCTGTCTTGCAGAATCTGAGTGATAAAGCCATATCGGCCCACAGCAGCTCTATCTAGAGCCAATTCTGTGACTCAAGCATTTTCCTCCTGGAATTTAGGACACCAGTGCAGATCTTTATTATGTTATCAAGGGTCTAGCATGGTTTGTTAGCTCCTGCTCAGTGCCAGCTCTGCAAATGTAGGTAGAATTGATTGGGTGTAACCGTTAGCACCCTCCCTTGTACGCCACATTCTGAGAGCACTTACTGGCAGCACTGAACTCAAGGGGTTCTCCATTCCTCCCATGAGCTGGGAAACTGAGGAGGATTGTGGGGAAGCATGAGCATTGCTCCTGTGGGAATGACCCTGTGTCTGGCTCGGCCAGCCATGAGCCAGAGTTAATACTTGCTTTAGGGTTTCTGACCTTCAGTCCTCAGTGCTGCGGGTTAGGGAAGAGCTTGTTAGCAGGCAGCAGAATACTGAGGAGAGTAGTGCAGGAGACATTTTTGCAAGTCCGCTAGCCTTGAGGTCCACCTGTTGTAAGCTCACTGACTTGATGCAAGACTGCCTCAGTATCCTTGCACAGTGCCTTCCCCACTACATGTTTGGTCCTTTTATAAAGAAAAACAGAATGTCTTGCAGAGCATGTTAAGTTGACAGTGTGTTACTGCAAAGACGTATTTTAGCTTCCTTACAAATATAAGGTCAGTATAGCCTTGACTGAGGCTATACTCAGAACACAGAACAGACAGCCACACACACAGCAAAACTGCCATGGCCTTGCTACTTAACTTTGCTTATATCTGAGTCCTAGAAAGCTGCAGTAGTCACCACTGAGGGAAGGAGGAGGTAGGTTTTGAAAGCAGCTTGTGGCTAATAGAAGGGGAGGTTATTCCTCCCTGAAAGAATATCTAGACTCCACCATTTGTAACCTACACCACCGTAAGTAGTGGAAGGGGCTCTCTAGGACTTTTTCTCCAGTTCATCCCTATCCCGCCCTCTCTCTCTCTCTCTTTTACTCCTGTTAGGTGCTCATCTCTTCTTCTTCCCTCTCTCTTCCCTCTCTCCTTTTAACTTTGGATATGGAGCACCAAAGGGCCCCATCCCTTTGTGCTTTGGAGGACCACATTCAATTTTGCCAACGTTGCTGAAAAACTCTGCACTGGCAATCTGTTTTTTAAGAATGTGTGTCGGAAATAAGCCCAGCTATTAACAGAAATGTATTTCTACCAGGCCAATGATTTTTCTGTTTCCGTGTTAGCTAGTTTTAAATGCATAACATTAAAATAACTACTGAATGAATTCCTGTGCAGTGAGCCTGTGATTGCACAGCTGTTGAAGTATGTATTGGCCCTTTATTCTCACATCTAACATCTACTGTATAAAAAAAGAAGAGAATTATCCTGTTTACACTCAAATAGGAAAATGCATGTATCCACCTGTTTTTTTTCCTGAGACTTAACACATAGTACCTCTAACTCCTCTCTCTAGGAGCCTTTTCTGTGTATTGGGCAGATAATTATTTGCATGTCTGTCTGTATCTGGAACAGAAACCACGGAATTCTGAACGCTGCAAGTGAACTTCCTTAGTTCCTAACATAGCTTACAGAATGTGTTTGGGGGGCCTACATTAGCTTCTGTGTAGAAAATGGAGTAAAATAATTCCTTTAATATCAGAAATGAAAAATCATCCACCAGTATCATTTTCTGTATATGTTTAAACAAACTTTACAGCATTATTAGATCTTAATAGTGTGGGTGAAATTCAGACCTAGAAAAAGAGATACAATTTCGTTTAAGAGAACTCACACCAGGCCTGGACTTGGCTTTTTTGCTTCTCAGCTTTTAGCAACCTCAAGTTGTTAAGAATGTGAGTTAGAAAAATTTTATATTCCCACATATCTTAATGTATTAGAAGATAGAAACTGCCACTATGGAGAGGAAGGGAGCTTAATTATTTCTTTTGAGAAATCAGTGACTTCCCTGTGACAGTCTTTTAGTGCTGCTTGCTGTTTTTTTCATGCTACAGTTGGGTCTCTTGAGACCTAGTCCTGCAGTGGCCTTAGCAGGGGGTGGGTACAAATGAGCTTTTGAAGCCCAGTTGAAGTCACTCAGGCTCCACATAGAGGATCTAGGAGGACTGGAACCTTAACTGTGCGGATTATTAAGCCTGACACTATGAGTGACAATAAAAGTAACTTTTTTATATATGTAAAATTATTTCTACTTGACCCTAACCTAGTAATTGATTTTGGCAGAAGGATATACTTTATTATAACTTATTTTGTTGTTATTTGTAAATACAAGATGTCTATGGGAAATATGTATTCTGAGCTGTGTCTATGGAACAAGCCACTGCACCAAAATATTTCAAATATTTAGAATAGGCAGATTTTTATTAAAAGGGATGTAATATGTATTTATTTACATATACCATTCACATGTTGTCCAGCTCTTTCATCATACTAATCTAGCTTTTAATTGAATTTATAGCACAGGTATTACATATATATTTATGTATATATGTCATACTGTAAATCCATAATACAACTTTATAAACTTTCTGATTAGCCAGTTCCTTGAGTGAATTAAAGGGGGAGTATAGATAAATTGCTTTCTGACTCGTTCAGGAATATGTATCCGTGGCCGTGCACCTGAACCAGAACTGTACAGCATCCTTTTCATATTGTATACATTTTCTCTTCGATGAAAAAATGTTAACTATTTTTGTTTATGACTAATTTATTTTTATTATTGTGAAAAATAAAGTAATTAAAGATGAACTTATGTGACATGATATATTTCTTATTTGGTTGATTGGTTCTTCCCCTTGTCATTCTTTCTTGAGAAATAAGCACAAGTATCACTAAGGAAATCCTTACTCGTATTTACCCTGGGCAAAATGCAAGCGTGTCGCAAAAGAACTACATAACCTGTGTTACAACCTTACAGACATGACAGCAACATCTGGATAGACTGTCCGTAATGATAATCATACTTACTATAAATGGGAGAGAAGGCCATTTCCTGGTGGTCCATCCCCTCCTGTTTGTTTCCTATGCCGGTTTGCTCCCTGTATAGTCTCAACTTGATTGTCAGTTTGCAGAATAAGGCTGTCACTTCCCTTATCTAGGCTCATCAGAGGAAGTGATTCATAACATTATGGCTTAAATGCTGGCTGGTTAGTTTTCTGTCAGTAGCTCCTGTGATTTTCTTTTACCCCTCCATAAAGCTGCTTTCCTAGGAAACACCTTGCATACCTGGTGTTGAAAACATGCAAGTCTGTATTGCAGTCTCAGCTGCAACAGGTCATGCTGTGAAATATTCCCAGAAGCTGAATATAAATTCCCTGGAGCAATAATGCTCGCTATGCCTTCGTTTATCTGGCATTCTGAGTTTTGGAATCTTGTGGGTTTTTTTTTGTATTTGCTTTTGTTTTCCATTAAATAACAAAATAATCCCAGTGCAATGCAGCTAAATTGTATTCATACAATAAAACATTTAACAATAACACGTTTTAAACAACAAAAATGTTTTAAAGTATCCTAGGGTGTTGACAGAATGTGCAGGCTGTAAGTAGAATTTCTGTCGGTAGCTGATCAAGCATCATACTTTTTTCCCCCACTCTTGCATAACTACACCTGAATTGTAGATATTTCATTACAAATTTCATTATACTTTCACTAACGATACCCAAGGATTTTTTTGGAAATCGCTTATGATGTCTTTTGATTTCTCATCTTTCCTGTTCTGAGAAATTCCATATAGTTCAAGAAAAGTGAAAGTTTACAGTATTTGAAATTCTGTTTTTTCCCAAAATACATATTTTCATATGTATTGAAAAGGGAAAAATTGAAAAAATTTGGTAGGCACACAGGAGATAGTCCTTAGTAATTTGGTAAAGATTCGTATTCTCTCTGGAGGCCACAGGAAGATATTGTTTGTTTTAGAGGTCCTTGTCTGTTATGTTCTGAAATGCAATAACCTTACCCTGCCTCAATAGACAATAATGAGTGTGAATGTTAGAATAAATACATACAGTCCATGGCACTGTCCTGTAACTGGATGCTCCTGGTTGACTACATCAATTTACATCTTTGAATACTGCTGACAGTTTTGTGTTCTTAAGTGCAGAGATCACATAATATTGATCCTTACAAAGCAGTACAACGCCAGGTGTTTCCCTCAGCATCTGCTAGGGCTTCAGTTAAACAAATTAGTACTTAAACAGTAGAAGAAAGTTGCTAATGGAGCTTAGCCAATGGTATTAACATTTTGCTGGAGGATTGAAGTTCTCTCTAATTTGTTTGTAACGTACACGTTTAACAATGTATGACCGTGACAGTATGCTGTGGAGACGGGAAGAGCCTTTCATGCTTCCTGAGGCACCAGACTTACTGGAGTAAGTAGGGCTCTCCCTTGGCTTACAGGCAAGGACTGACACAGCAAAGCCTAGAACTAAAAGCAGGCCAAGGTATTTCTAAAACTAGAGCCAAGACACTTGCTAGAGGGCTGCAACTGCTACTTTCTCTATGGACCAGGTGAAAGGAGGAAACCTGTAATACAACCCTACTGTTCTGTTTCCTTAGAGCTATTGAACAATTGCTCTTTTTTTAACTCTCCATACTCTACAGGTCAAATCACGCCACTATCTCCTTTTGGTGCTTTTAATGGTTGTGTTGCGAACACAGAAAAATTGTGCTAGCCTTTTACAAGATTTACAAGATCATCTGAACTTAAGCGCTTCCTGTCTTTGTTTAAACTGGGCCACTGGGGTGGGTGGGGGGCAGAGCCTGTTCAGTGGGGTTCGTAGGGGTTACTGCGCTGCCTCCTTTCCTCGCAAGAGACCTTGCTGGGGAGGCGGTCGGAGATCCCTGCGGACAGACCCCGCCAATGCCTGGGGAAAGCACCGGTGCTCAGGCCCTCCCCAAGGCAGCTCAGATCAGGGGGGCTGGAGGCTGTACTGCATCGAAGGGCCAGGCCCCGAAATGACCAGCTGACCCAGGCATCGCGCTGCAGTTCATGGGAAAGCTGGGCACCACCTGACAGGAATCCAAGTAGGAAGCTGCTTCAAGTTAGCGCAGCTGTGGCTGCTGAGAGTGAAGTACTGGCATAGGCGGAACAGAGACATCTAACCCCGGTCTGGCCTGTCTCCTCCATGTGCCTGCAGCTCTCCTTTACAAAACTCAGCTGTCCCGCTATATAAATCTCCTCTCCGCTTCCAGAGCCGTGTAGAACTAGCCCAGGAAGCAGAGACGTTCAGTTTGGCCCTCAACCGTTCCCAGATGCCCCGGGGCCAGGCGGGGGTCGGCGCCCGGCCCTCGCCCCTTGCCC